AAAAAAAAAAAAATGCAAATCTGCTTACAGATTTAAGAAAGAAAACATGGCTACAAATTTATTGAGTCACAAAGACGACGAAACTGAAGGAATTAAAAACATTAATCGCATAAATATATACACATATATACCTTCAATTGATGAATTGTGTGTAAAAGCTTCAGCAAGAAAGCACCTATGGCGTCTAGGGTTTCCAATCCTTTTCTTTCTTTTTTAAAGACAAAGTCCTAAATCCTATTCCTATTTAACTTCTACTTCTAGCGGTTATTTATACTTGGACCGGCCCAACAGGTCAATCCAGGCCCGGTCCGAATTGGTCCGAAGTTACATGCAACCCGGTCAAACTCCGAGACATTCATTCGGCACTCGGCAGGCTCTGCAGAGTTTTAACCGGGTCATTTTTATTTAATTATTCTTAATATATATATTTAATTAGGCCTCTACTCGCTGCTTTGACAATTTTCTGTATATGGCATACGCAGTTGCTACCTAAAAATTTTGAGCTCTTTATAACCACTATAAGATGTATGTTGACAACATAATTCTATATACTGACACTTCGTCTAATTTCATTGAACTAACCCATCACCACCAAAAATAAAATTATTTTTGAAAATAAAATTATGTGTATATTGTTGATGTTAAAAAATGTCAGCAACATATGGTGAACCTCATACTAAATTGTATACTTTGTTCAATCTGCACAAATAAATTTATTCCAAAAATATGGGTTGAATGCATGTTCTATTCATGACTTTTTCCTGTGAAGAATATATGAATTAAACTATCTCAAGATCAAGAATCAAAGAGAATGAAGATGGAGTTTATTTTTCGAGAAAAATGCTATCTTTTTTCTCTCTCCTGAGATTTCTTTGGATAATGTTGGATTCTCTCCCTTTGGATAGGATTTTCCAAATACATGTACATATCACAATATATGGACATCAATTAATGAGGACTAACATAATATAAATAATATTATAATGTGGTGTGACCGTGTGGGGGTTCAATTATGACACTTGACGACTTCAACATACATCTGCTTTGTCGGTAGTGTGCGTCCTCGGAAGACGACTTCTTTATTATATCCAGGTCAGGCTGGCGATATTAAATTCTGCTCGGCTCAGATGTGGGTGCTCTTCACGTTTGAAGACTCGGTTAATATTAAATGAGCCGCTTGGAGAGCCTGCTATTTGTATATTAAATTATTACGTATTATAATCTCTATTTATTTATTAGTTGCAGCCAAATTGTGTACCAACAAGAGGCCCCCCGAGTTTATAACATGTTCTGAATATAACTGTTATGAAGTCGCGTTTATTTACAATTTGGCAGACTTTTGCTTGTAATCTTTTGAGCTTGTGATGCTTGCGTGATACATAAGACCGCATCTTTATTTTATCGACGTTTATCGAATGGATACGCGTTAATATGTAATTTCTGGGTGCTTTAGGACCCATGTACGCTTTGTCGATTGTTTTTAGGCTTTGGCCTGATGAATTCGTGTTAGTTGTGCTCTTCTACACTTTGACGAGTGCGAGTCAGTGGAATAGATGAACAATTTTAGAATTGTTATCGAATGGGGCCCAAATGGCCTAGCTGGGTAATTTGGTACCTATTTTTGCGTTTGTACCATATGACGTGCATGTTTAATTTTGTTGTTGCAATGGAATGGATTAGTGTGGGCACTCAAGCCCCTTGAATTTTTAGCGCTTCGTACGAAGAGGCTCGCTGATATGATTTGTTTGTCGATTCTAAGTTAGCCATATTTGCGGCTCTTTGTCGCATTGGTGCGACTCGAAAAATTGATTTCTATGATTGTTTTAATACTTTATGTTGACCTGGTCGGATTATTTGGCATCCGGTCTTTTTTTCTTCCCGAACTACTCCAGAATTTGGGATTTTACTCTTGCAGAGTCATTTTATTTTTCGTCGAACACCTTATGTTGCTCGGACTTACCCTTTGGTAAGCTATTCTATAGCTCCATTGTTAAAAAGATGTTCATTTGCAAGAAATAAATGCATTGTATTTGAGTTGTATTGGTTGTTTTTTTTTTTTTTT